CGATTTCATTTTTTGCTGTTAAACTGGAGATCAAATTTTACTAATACAAGAGTGAGTGCAAAGACTTTTGCAAGAAAAAAAAATGAAACAAATTGACTCAAACTTTTTTAAAAAAAATTTTTCAGCGACTACTATTGCTTTATTCATTGGTATGGACTATAAAATTATAGGAATTATATCATTAATTAATAATATTTCCTTAAAGGTATGTTCTAATCATTTCTTCGTTTTCTTTTACTCTTTTAATAAATAATTGGAAAATGTAAAAAATTTCATTTCAATTCCATTGTTTTTTTTCAATTACATTCATTTCATTAATTACAGATTCGTACAACAGTGATGGTTTCATGTACAATTTTCGTTTTACCACCATTTCGTAAAGCTTTATTTAATTTATTGGGTATTAAACGTCATCAAAACATTGCTGTGATACCACTTAATAATAATTATTTTAGCAATCGACGTAATGATCAATGATCATATGATATTAGCATTATGTTAATTGTCTAATCATTACTACACTTTGCAACAGCAATTTTCTTGGCTATCGAATTTCTTTTCCTCACAGCTTCCCTTATGGCCAGTTTTCGATTTTATTGCTAACACTTTTTTTTTACTGAAACCAAGAATTTTCTTATACCAATTTTCTTTTTCTACATTCTTCAGAGATATTTTTTCTCGAAACATTCGTCCGAAATATACCTTTTGCAGTCACTAGAATATTGCATCCCAGAGGAGCATATAACCTTCGGAAAATTCCAAATGCACAATTCCAAAAAAAAAAAAGTTCCAAAAATCAACAATTATTTTGACAGACGACAAATGATATGTGATTGTGTAATATTGGGATATGCTAAGTTATTTATTCATTAATCGTACAGAATTAAATCATTCCTTTGTTTTATTAAAATATTAATTAAAGCTTAACCTTCTCAAAAATATTAGTTAGCTTAGTTTTCTAGGTTATCACTTTGCTATGAATATCCGTTGCAGCCAATTTTATTTTATTCTTTTTTTTTTGTTGATATTAATAACTTTGTTGTGTCGATATTTCTTCAGAGATATTTTTTCTCTCGAAACATTCGTCCAAAGTACTGTATAACTTTTCCAATCACACTAGAATATTGCATCCCAGAGGTGCATGTAATCTTCGAAAAGTTCCAAATACAGTAAGATGAAAAGGGAAGAAATTTTAATTGTAAAAATACAAACACAAAATAAAATTGAAAACTAAAATTCGCGTAAATAGAAAACAATAAATTACAAAAATAATTATAATATTGGAACTGATAAAATACTGTCAATTGTTTGTCTCTCAATGATCGACTTCTATTTTATTCGGTTAATTAAACCATTTTATTGTCTTTTTCTTTCCGTTTAAATGATCAATAGCATATCGATTGGCGATAATAGTCCCACTGAAAATTTGTTTGTTTTTCATTTCACTAATCAGTTCTTTTTTTTTTTAAAATATAAACTAATCATAATAATAATAATAAATAATAATAATAAACAACAACCACAATAATTAAATCAACAGAAACCATATCAATTACAATAACAATAGAAACAACAACAAAAATAATAACAATGGCAACATTAACAACCACAACAACAACGAAAGTAAACAAATAGCAACCACAACAGCAACAACAAAGGTATTGCGCTAATATTTCTATCAATATATAATCAATTTTTGACATATATTAATCATGACAATAAAATAAATAATAATAATAATAATAATAATAATAATAATAATAATAATAATAATAATAATAATAATAATAATATTGTCGAAAAATGAAATAGATGCTATCTATTTCTAATTATTTGCAACGGAAAGTAAAAGTAATAAAAGTTTAAGTAAAAATTGTACAACAAATATAATCGTCAATAAATTGTTCAAATATTGAGAAGAAAAGAATGAAAATCATTTGTATTGAATTAATTAATTATTTTTTCAATTTTCGTTTTCTCGAAAAAAAGTAGCTGGGCGTTTCATTTTATTTAACGAAATAGTGAATGAGAGTGAACTTTTAAGAGTAAGCAGGCAAAAGTTTGCTCAAATTTTTTATTGTAAATTACTTTTTGTGAATTTTTTTTTATAAATCAATTATTGAAATGTAGCTGTTATTATTGCATCATTCGTTGGTATATTGAGGGAATACAGTAAGAGCTATATTAGAAACTAATGTTTAATATTATTTTTTTTCGTAATGGAAATTAGTGTTTTTTTCTGTTATCTTAATTTTAAGATTAATTTGAAAGTGTAAAAATTTAATTTCAATAAATAATTTAATTTCAATAAATAATTTCGTTCATTTCATTTATTATAGATCCAAATAACAGCAATAGTTTTATGCAAAATTTTCATTTTGCCAACATTTTGTAAAGTTTTGTGTGATTTATTAGGTGTCAAACGTCATCAAAATATTGTCACTCAATAACAATTATTTTGACAGGCGACAAATGATACGTGATTATGTGATATTGGCATATGCGAAGTTATTTAATCATTAATTGTACAGAATTAAACTATTCCTTTGTTTTATTAAAATGTTAATTAAGCTTAACCTTCCCAATGATATTCGCTACCTCAATTTTCTAGGCTATCACTTTGCTATCAATATCTGTTGCAGCCAATTTTCAATTTTTTTTTTTCGCTGATATCAATAACTTTGTTGCGCCAATATTCTTTCTTCAGAGATATTTTCTCTCGAAACATTCGTCCAAAATACTGTATTTTCTAGTCAATAGAATACTGTATCCCAGAGGAGCATGTAATCGACGAAAAATTCCAAATACAGTAAGATGAAAAGAAAAGAAATTTTGATTATATAAATACAAAATAATTTTAAAAAAAGTAAAATTAAAAGCTAAAAATCGCGTAAGCAAAAAGCAATAAATTATAAAAATAATTAAAATAGGAATTTAAAAGTGCAATTAATGAAGTATAATGAATTGTTAATCCTACAATGATTGTTCAAATTTTGACCATTGGCATTATTGGGCCACTAATTTTTTTTTCTTTTTTAGCTACAAATTATTAACAGAGCATATTGTTGTTGACGATGTGGCGGTAATAGTTTCATTGGCATTTTGATAATTTGCCATTCCATTGATCAATTTTTTAATAAACTAATATCATAGTAATAAAGATGGCAAACAACATTAATAATGCTGATAGTAAAAACGACAACTAATTAGAATAAAAATAACAACAATAATAATTATAACAACAACAACCACAACAAAAACAACAAACAATAAACAACAAACAATAAATAACGAACAACAAACAGCAAACAACAAACAATAAACGAGAAACAACAAACAACAAACAATAGACAACAAACAACAAACAACAACACCAACAACAACAACAAAAACAACAAAAACGATAACAACAACATTAGCAATAATAAAGTAAAACAGCATGTCGCATTTTCTTTTTTTTTTCAAATATGTGATGATTTATAGAAAAAAAAAAAACTTCCTAATATTTATAGTAAATAACAAGTGGAAGGTTGCCTTTTCATCTTTAAAATAGACCAAAATAGTAAACAAATTGTTTCTGTTTAAAATTTTCGAATTTTCGAAATTAAAAAATGAAATATAACGACGACAATTCTTCATTCATTTCTTTTTTTTGCATTATTTTTGTATCGTAAAAAATGTCAAAAAAAAAAATGAATGTATGTTCTTTTACTTGAAAAAGGAACTTTTTTTTTATACTTTTTCATTTTTATTTCATTTTATTTTTCTTTCATT